CGTGCGTGGCGTGCCAGAGTTCCGCAGCTATACTGTGTACATTATATATATAGGCTCTCGTCGTCCTCATCTCGGTTTTCTCTTTTTTGGGGGGAAATTGCCTCCGACACGATGACACGCTTCACGCGTACGCACCCAGCTTTCTCTCGTCGTCATTGTCGCCGCAATCATGGCACAAAACCCTCGTTCCTTGAAACAAATCCCGCTTTTCCTTTTTTCCTCTCGACTTTTTTATTTTTCTTCTTCTTCTTCATCTCCTCCTCAATCCTCTTTCTTTTCTTTTCCTTTCTTGCTTCTTTTTATTCTCCATGCCAACATTGTTATCGTCAACTTATTCTACTCCTTCTTCTTCTTCTCCACCATTTAACCAGTAATATAATAATACAGGCAGCAGTGTAGAGACAATGCATTTATGCTGTAGTGTATAGAGCTATATTCTTGCGGACAAGCATGGCTGCACTTGCAGCCCGCACTCAAAGTCAGTCAGTGTGTCCAATTCTTCTGCTTCCATCGGTACATTCCCACATTATTCGTGCATCTCCTCCCACTTATATTCTAAATAAGTAAGTATAAGAACCTCTCCCCTCCCATCTCTCTGTGATCATTGGCTCACTCATATATACTCTCTCTCTCTCTCTCTCCACGACTTGTAAAAAAACGAAATGAATTAAATTATTTCATCCCCGTGTTCTTTGCGTGCAGTCATCTGTCTGTCTGTCTTCGTCTCGCCCGAATAAACGCAAACCAGCAACAAACAGCATAGCAACAAACAACGCGATTCGACTCTCGTCGTTGCTTGTAATAACGTCTATATATTCCTCGTTGCCCCTCCATCTTTGTTTCATCTTTTGCCAAGCGGTAAATACTGTATGATCAAAAAACAAAACATGTACGGCATTTAAACAAAAACAAAACAACGACAAAAAAGGCAAAAGAAGACTACTGTATAGTCTGAGGGAAGGGAAAGTATTTTATTCATACGTACAGGACATACGTACTGTACAAGCATATGTACCGTACATTACTTGTAACAGTGGGGGGTCTTGGTTTATAAACTTGATCCATTACTGAGCAAAGTTGCAAAGTTTATTGTCAACCAAAGCCTATTACCCCCCCCCCCTTTTTTTATTTTTAAAAAGCACGGGTATTATTTTAATTGGTCCTAGAGCCTTGAAAATGTCCATGAAAATCAAACATGTTTTACCCAACACTTTTACTGGGCCTGAAATCCTACATACAGTACAGTATTTCATATTAGAAGAGAAGTTGAAATAAGTGTTGAACAAGACAGGAGCCCAAGAAGGATGCCACAGAGGGTGGGTCGGTGTTTGGTTGGAATCAGCACTTTTCATGCAGAAAATTCTTATTTCACTCTGCACTTTTAAGCAACCCGTGTCGTGTCTGTATAAACAGAACGAAGAACATGAAGGACAATTGTATAAGGTTATGTACAGTATTCAGGAGTGGGGGTGAAATAACATCTAAACTGAGAAGATTAAAAGCTGTCATGAAACAAAAGCAGACGGAGAGAACTTGAGAACGAAATTAGCGGAAATGGCTTGACCGCATTAAGCCCCCCCCCCCCCAGCAGTTGGAGTGACATGTGTCGTGTCAATGAGGCCCGAGTCCAGCAAGGAAAGATCCGGTTTGTTTCTATCAACAAGTTATGCTGGATACAAATCAGTCGACAATTACACAAGACAAGAGCAACCTGATGGTACACTGGACCCGGCCGACACGTCCAGTCTACATTATAGTGTAGGAGAAGTTCCACATTGTCGTATCAATGAAGTTGGGCACGACTCTTGAGGAAACCCCAATCTCGATTTCTATATAGGTTGGTATACGTCAAATCTTGACAAAAGCAGTCGTAAGAAATGGAGTGTTGAGTAAAGCAAAGTGCTGCAAGTCCAAGTATCGTACAGTACAGTACAGTACAGTTCAGTTCAGTACAGTACAGTGCAGTGCAGCCTTCAGAGTCAATAATAAGAAAGGGGGGAAAAGGAAAACGGTTCCGTCCAGGAAGTCGTCGTTATATTCGTTGCACAACCTGTGTGCAACTTATTACTGGTTCCCATCGGGAAACGGGAGGACGACGAATAAGACTATTAGGGAACTCGGGAAAAGTTTCCCTCAATCACTTTTTGCGCAACTCCAATAAACACCAAGACGTGGACGTTTCCTTTTACTTTTTTATTTTATTTTTATTTCTTGCTTTTCCTCCTCCAATAAAGAAATACTCTCTTCTTCTTCTTCTTCTTCGTCCTCGTCTTCCTTTTTTTTTTTTTTCTTAAACCGTATTGTCGACGAAAATGAAAGCAAAAGATGATTGAGCGAGCCATTTTTCACGATAATCGTGCTATTGTGCTGTACTTTACTTGAGAGAGTGAATAAACGGGCATGAATTGGTTGATTGGGAATGAATCAATGGGCCACAATAAGAGAGGAAGGAAGGAAGGGAGGGAGGGTGGAAAACAAGTGCGGCGAATCGTCGGCGGAAATAAATAGCAAAAGCCACCTGCGCAAATGCACCCCACGCAAATTCGTGTGTTGCCAAAAATAAAGTAACACGCACGCACAACTCTGCAAAGGGTATATAGATGCCGTGTACAGTACTGTGCGTATACTGTATAAGCCATCACAAGTGAAACAGCACCCTCACCTCGCAAGTACAGTACTGTACTGTACTGTATACTCAGCATAATAATCCAGCAACAGAGCAAAACGCTTCCTTCCGCATTCAACATGCAGTATCAGCTGCGATAAGCAGCATCAGGGACTTTTTTTTTTCTTCGAATGCACTCTGATGGAACCCGTGTTACCAGAGAGACTCGGATGATGTGCAGCAAAGCAAGTACAACAGAATTGGGAATAAAGTACAGTACAGTACAGTACTGTACTGTAGTGTAATGCTGCTCATCTTTTGTCCAAATAACCATCAGCGTTCGCGTCGTCATTTCAGTCCCCGTCACAGCATCACATCGCAGTAATGTACATCAGTACATCGTCTCACTCATTGCATCGCCAATGTGTAAAAAATCAATGGATCATTCAACGTGCATCGTCATCATTCCACGATGATGATGGATTTACCTCGAATTTACTCCCCCTGCTGTGTGTATGGATTTATATATTTTTTATTTTTTTTTATTCCGCCGTCTTCAACGCGTGTGCAGTGCAACGACGTAATCAAACGATCGGCTATAAGGGGGAACAACAAGAGTTGCCTGCATTATTGTACCGCATACACATGCAGAACAAAGCAAATTTACTATATACAGTATTGCGGTATGAATTCGGCCTAATGATAAATTATACCGTACACTCAAGTACAGTGCAGTACTGTATTGTACTTGTATGGATAACTACAGCAGAGCCATCTATGGGAGTGCTCCCTCTCTTTTCCTGCCTATACAGTATACCTGTCTCCGCTTTATTCACTCTTATTCCAGTGTTACCGCGATGCAGTATACAACATCGTGTAGAGAGATTGCTCGCTTATTTACTTGCAAAAAGAAGCAATATTACTGATGCACATGTAATCGTCTGATGGTCGACTACATTGTCTTGTTGTTGTTGTTGTTGTTGTTGTTACAATATGATTCAGGTTCGTCTGTTTCTTATAATTCGCGGCGCAAAAAGAAATGTAAAGTGCTGGAAGAGGAAGAAGGTGATGACGATAGATAGACAGACAGACAGATTCTCACCAGACTGGAAGACGTTGAGGGGGTTGAGAAAGGACCAGATGCCGCGTGGCCCGCGGAAAGTGAGTGGCTTGTCCAGCAGGACGAGTTCTGACGCCTCCTCGGCCGCCGTCGTCGACTTTTCGTCACCGTCTCCGGGCTTCTTAACATTGTCGATGTTATTCTCGTCGTTGGCGGAGGACACGACGTGGTCCGGATGCGTCTTGTGGATCACGTTCAGGATGTGCTTTTCCATTAGGCTGTTGTTCACTGCACACATCACATACAAGGATGGAATTCGAATTGATTCAATAAATGAATGAATGAATGAATGAATGAATGAAGCAGGACGAGGATGATGATGAAAGGAGACTCCTTACTTATTCACCATAGCTATACGTACAGTATGTATAGCCCAGTCAACAACAATGAGAAATGCAACTCACCCACGATGGAGCGTCGGATGCCAAAGAGACTCACGTCCAGATTGAGCTTCTTGGCCTGGCGACTGTTGGTGCTGCTGCTACTGCTGCTGCTACTGGCCTCAGCACACATGCCTGACGGCGAGTGCACCAACACCAGAAGGCACAATATCGAGTAGGTAATAAAGCACGACAGGACGAGGAGGACATAGTTGTTGCTGCTGTTGTTGTTGTTGTTGTTGCGGGTGTTGAACAAGGTGTTGGTCGTCGCCGTCGTCTTTCTCGTTTTTCCTAGCGCTGCTGTTCCCGCCGCGTCTTCACGGCATCGTCGCATCTTATTCCAAAGTCGTCTTCCTGATGCTGCTGCATAGCACGGATTGGACGAGAACATCATAGCATGTGTATAGAACCGACACTACATATATAAAGACATGACTGACACACCCCCTCCCCCTCCCCCAAATCGATCCATCACTCACCGTCTTATTCTCTTTCACAAGCACGACGTCGATGAAACAGGACCAGCACATGGGAAGCCAGCAGCAGCACTACACACCAGGAGCACCGTCGATGAGCGATGACGACGTCGCGACGTCAATAATAAGTCAACCGACGCGCTGCAATGCTTTCCCGAGTCCGAGTACGCGAGCACTGCCATTCACACGCACTATTATACTAAATCTTCACGTGATGCTCGTATGCATGCAGGTACCGTTTCTTATTTTTTTTTTGTCTTTCTTTCTTTTACCTTTTCGACAAGGAAGAGAAACACAACAAATCACAGACATGAACGCAAATCAGCAGGCATGAAAGGGCCACGAACACGGGGTGCTGTTGTCTCAGATGGAGACGAGTAGTCGGCACACATGATGGCCTATAGTGAATCACGTCGTTACGGCAAATATGTGCGTGGGTGTCCAGTACCATTCAGAAATCGAGTCAACGACACCGCGGATGAGAAACTGGCAAAGAGGGAAGGGGGAAACCTTCATAGCATTTCTCTTTCTCTCTCTATCTCTCTTGTCTTTTCATCCTCACAAGAATGCAGCAATGTAATTAACCGCCCGTCATTGTCGTCGATCACTGCCTATTCGCTTCATTTTTTTTTTTACACGAATAAAGTCACATTCATCGACAATAACACGGCCGATTGCTTGCTTGATGGACGAAGTCGATGAAAGCGACGCTGAGACGACATCGCACGAGAAAAAGCAGCAGCAAGAGCACAAAGATCGTCATCATCGTCGACGCAAGGACACTATAGAGGAGCAACACTACAGTGCTCCTGATGTCGACGGAAACCCTGTCGGACAAAACGCGGATCTGAGTCACCGCGTCGGCAACCTCAACTTGCACGTCCAGCCCGCTGACGAGCAACACAGGCTCGGGAGGAAGCATCACCACCAGCACAAGCATCATGGGCAGGCGGCTGGCTCGTCGTCTTCGTCGTCTGCTCACCGGCTGACACCAGGTGCGACATCTGCACTTCAGCCCCGAGTTTTCAAAACCCTGCCTTCTTGATTTCATACACATGCACCGTATAGGTGTCACTTCTCTATAGATATACTCTACCGTACCTACGCGTCCCATTGCATCCATGATCAAAAGGCTGCGAGGTGGTCCTTTGCTCGCCGTTGTGCCCCTCCACCAGGATTCTGCAATTGCAAAATTCAAAAGGCAGAAGAGAAACGGGGAGAGGGGTGCTATGTAATCTAACCGTTTGGCTCCCGGCAGCAACAACATTACGAGTTCATACTGAAATTCATATACGATGCGAATCACGATAGCCAGCAATCCTGCATGCATACACAGTACTGAACAGTAGTATACCGTATATACATGCAGACTCAAATATACAGCATACAGTATTACAGTGAATATTCTTTTACTCTTCACTCGACACCGGCGACCAGCAATCTTCCATGCACACGTAAAGGGACCTCCTGTGTTTCAAGTATGGAAAATTGCAGGGACTGAATGCCATTTTCACTTATAGATATATATATATATACACGTATTGTATATGAGAACTCGAGCCATACCAGCACAGCAGTACCCGTGTGAATAAGTCCACAGACGGCAAGCCAAGGAATCATCCACCCGTGAGCTCGCGATCATCATTGTACTTGAAGCATTTCCCTTTTTAATTCAAGATCATCCGAAGCTCCAAGATGAGGCTCCGGCCAACTGAGTTTCTATCGCCTCTGATTTCTAAATGGAAAAAACCATGATGACGGGTTTCTCGAGGAAAAGAAAAAAATAAGAAAAGGTTAAGGTGCAAATGATACGAACCAATTAATGTCATTTCCTGTTGGCAGGTGGAATTAGACAGGAGGAAGGGGAGCAAGAGGAAGAAATGGCGGTCCAACAGCAGCAGCGAGTGAAGCGCTCGACCAGCGTCAACAACAGCTCTGGCAGCAAGGATCGGTATCGGGCCAATGCTTCTACTGCTGCTAATAGTAATAGTAGCGGTGCTGGTAAGGAGCGGGCAACTGCCGCCGACGCCGTCGTCGTCGTGCACACGGCGCCTGGTCTACGTCCCGACAAGCCCATCGTCGAACAGAAGCAGAAACACAGGGAGAAACAGCAGAAGCATCACAACAACAGACAAGTGGCGAATAACAGCAGCATGGCGGAGAGGAAAAAGGACGGACACGACGAGGATGATCATGATGAGGAGAAGAAGAGGAAGAAGCAGCATCAGCACGACGCCAGCATCAGCAAGAGTGACACCAACAATAAGGGCGGCGGCAGCAGCAGCAGCAGTCATCCCATCCTCAGCATGCCCATCCACGAGATGATCGTGCAAAATTTCAAGACTGGCATGAGTGCCTTCCTGACACAGGGTTACAGGGAAAAGTCCAACAGTCCGGCGAGGTACGTGACAAAATGGGAGACGTTCGTCCATGCATATCTATATACCGTATTTACATTCTCTAAAATGCGAAGAGGAAGAAGAAGAAGAATACAGAAAGGGGTCACATCAACGTGTTCTCTCGTACATACATCAAATGCACTTGCTGATGCAGAGCAGAGACAGTACTAGTATCATAATTAATTAAGCGGGATCAATAATATTGACGACACTCCTTCTTCACGTTAATGTAATTTAATTTTTCTGACGACTATATAATATGCGGTAAGAACGAGAGGGACAGCAAAATTCGATTCGAACTCACTATTCGTACCGTACATGTACTGTATACGCAATCCTTGATGATTTATTGCCTATACTGTACGGTATACTGTATATAGACTCGTGAAGCATCGCCAAACGTACGAAAAGACGCACGAGTACTTCGAGGCCATCCTGAGTCGCAAGAAGGAGGCCTTCAACCGTCGGTTCGACAACCCGACGGCGGCGGGCTTCATCGGCAAGCAGCATCGCGGGCACTTGTCCGACTACCTTCTCATCCGCACCATCGGCACGGGCTCGTTTGGCCGCGTGGTGCTGGCCCGGCGACGGGCCGACAACCAGCCCTTTGCCGTCAAGATCCTGCGCAAGGCCAAGGTCGTGTCGAGTCGCCAGGTAGCGAGAGATTCCCCGTGATTTACAGAAATAAATAATATGCAGCAATATATGTTCCCACTTGTTTTGTTTGTTTTTGTTTTTCTTCTCGTCAATCCAATTCAACAGCTGCAAAGATGAAATATAAGCAGTATACTGTATAGTCGAGCCAAGCAGTCAGCAGTGATCTAATAATGATACAGCACTCTATAGTTGCCAAATGTCAAATGTACTGCATCGTTATACAATAGTTGAAGTTTAGACGCGTAAAGTACATAACGAACATTACGCATTTGCAGGTGGGTCACACACTGGATGAAAAGCGACTCCTGCACGCTGTCGACAACCACTTCCTCGTCCGCCTCCACGACAGCTTCAAGGACAACAGCAACCTGTACCTGGTGCTGACGTTCGTCAACGGCGGCGACCTCTTTGGCCTGGCTGCCAAGCACGGCAAGTTCTCCGAGGCCCACGCCAAGTTCTACATTGGCCAGATCCTCTTGGCCATGGAGTACCTGCACGCCAACTCCATCGTGTATCGGGACCTCAAGCCCGAGAATGTGCTCGTCACCCTGCGCGGCTACCTCAAGATGACGGACTTTGGATTTGCCAAGCGTCTGGAGCCGGGAAAGCGGGCGTGGACCCTGTGTGGCACACCCGAGTATCTGGCACCGGAGCTAATTCAGGTGCTACATTAATAATGCATCATCTTCATCATCATTCTCAATATGTAATGAGTATGATGATGATGATGATGATGATAATAAATATAGGGATTCGGTTATGGACTCTCTGTCGACTGGTGGACGGTCGGCATCATGTTGTACGAGCTCTGCGTCGGTCGCTCGCCCTTCTACGACTCCAGGACCGTCGTCATGTACGAAAAGATCGCGTCCGGCAATTTCCGGTTCCCGCCGGGCCTGTCGGACACCTACGTCAACATTGTGTCCAACTTTCTGCAAGTCAAGGTATACGTATACTGTAATTATTAAGAGTAGGGTACAGTACAGTACTTGATGCACTTTCATCGACACAGGTGGACAAGAGACTCGGTTGCCTGCAACACGGCGCCAGGGACGTCAAGATGCACGAGTGGCTCTACGGCTTCAACTGGATCCTGCTCAACGAGGGCAACATGGCGGCGCCCCTGGAGCCCGTGCTGTCGGGCCCGGACGACTCGCGCTACTTCGAGCGCTACGACGAGACGCCGGTCACGATTGCGGCCTATCCGGAGTATGCGGCAGACTTTGCCGACTTTTGATCTCCTGTCCAGCATACGGCATCGTATATAGTGCTCTGTAATAATGAATAGAGATACTGAATTTGTATTTGCAGTTCATCAAAATGCATTCACTATAATTGTACCCACCAGTTACTGTACATCGACGATACTGATGTAGATGACTCCAACATATACCGTACGTTGGAAGAAAGAAAGAATTGACCCCTGGAGCATCGCATATATCCATATAGGGTATGATGATGACGACGCGTCAGTTCGTGCATACTCTGCACTGTACAGGGGTCGCTCAGATGAAATTCATCACGTCCACAAAATAAAAGACTAGGTCTCGCTGCTATACATCGCTAAAGGAATGGAAAAGTCCTGAATCTGTGTACTGTACAGTACATTACATATGCTGTACAGTACCAGGAATGAATGAATGAATGAATGCTCGAACATCACATGCGCCCATTGCTTGATTCCATGCAGCGTATTATTAACATACTGCTGTACACAAATATGCTGTACAGTATACTTCATGCTGTGAGCTAGAGGATTCCAGCACTCTCTTCACCAAGGTGTCTTTTAAAACAATTATTTCCTATATAGGCAACAAATTTATTGATTCCACCTTACGTAGAATATTATATGCACCCATGCAGACCTCGCACGCAGTACAGTACAGTAAATTCGGATAAATCGGCTTCTGATGATGAAAACGTCTCGGAGATGATGGGCGAGAGAGAAATCCCCGAAACAGGATGAGAACTGATGCCACAAATTCAATGACTGACGATGATGATGATGGTATCTCGCATATTGTGTTCCACTTATTGCTCCTCCCATTTCGTTTGTTTGTTTGAAAATATAAAATCAACCCATTTCCCAGCAGCCGCAGCCGCATGTGCTCGTATGAAGAAACAGCATCAACGCCGGCGGCCTTGACGTCCGAATAATTCACCAAAAGTAGCACTGCTGCTGCTGATACAATACTGTACTGTACTGTACTGTACTGCGATTTCACAGCATCAGAGCAATTCAGCATTGATGACGCGACATCCTTCTTGGGGAAAATCCATTGTTTCACTATATAGACTGCTGCATTCAGCAGCTGATGGTCTCTACTGTATAGACAGGAATTGCATTATACTGTTTGTCCAGTCTACAGCAGTACACTGTATATATGTGCTGTATACCGTATAGACACGACGGTATACTGCACAGTACACAACACATAAGCAACTATACGTGCGCTATGGTTGCTGCAATGCCTAAATCGATTAATGCAAGACAATCTGATCGAGATCAAACATAGAAAGAAGCCTTTACATATTCACTGTACAGAACTATGTACGCTAACTGATGTGCTACAGTAGTGCACGCAGACTACGTTGTACATATTATTCATACAGCGAATATTCAGCCACTGACATGATCAGTGCGAACTGAAATGAATGACGACGAGGATGAGCTACAGTGACTCGCAACCCTCAAATCGATCCACGCCTATCTCTCGCGCTTGGTCCTGCAATAATAGTCAAGCAGGGATACAATAATACACGAATACAGTACAGTACAGCTAGTGCAATAATACAACAACAGAGAAGAGGATAATGCTCGCAATAGACTCGTCTGTATGCACATCAATACGGTCCTGGCTGAAAGAGTGTAATGACGACTAATGAACTGGGGCACCAATCCAAGGAAATCACTGGATGATGTCGAGACGATCTCATCAGATACGTATATTGTACATTGAAAAGGGGGCGTGAGCGGAAGAATCGGGTGTTTTTTGTTTGCAATAATGCAGCTAATGAAGCGGCAAATTCGGATGATGATGTACAGTATATGATAATCGATCACAGTAGATAAAAGGGCAATTTGTGAGTTTGAAGAAGGAGGAGGAGGAGGAGGAGGAGGATGACGTGGGTAAAGAACAAGTGTGATCATCAGCACCACAACCACCACCTTCATCCCCCTTTTACTGTACGAACAATGAGCGACGAATCATCAGCGACGACACTTGACTGCACACTCAGCATCACTCGTCTTTCACCAATCCACCCGTCACTAAACAGTACTGTACATCATTTATTGTACTCTCATACTCTCACTTTGTCTTTTTTCATGCATGCTAAATAATAAACATGAAACTATTGAAATTCACATAAATACAGTGGGATCTTGCTACAACGAAGCTATTGGACAGGGACTTGGAAAGAAAGAAAAAAAGTCTTGTAACGAGATTTTGTACTCTACTGTACTGTACTGATGCACATACCGTCCGAACATATAGTGCGAATAAAGAACAAGTAACTCGAAGAAAAAAAAAAAAAAAAAGGACCGGAGTTCCAGCAATACGGTACTTCAAAAGGGAAATTCCTGTTCTTTTCGGGTCAGCAATTGTCCCTCATGCCCAGTATTGGTTCATTGGCCTTGGATGGTCTACGACTACGTCATAAATGTAAATGCTGCACTGCATAAGGAAACGAAACCCTGGCAGCACGCACCAATTTACTTTACCCAAGGGCACAGTGAACATTGAAGAACTGCTCGTTGTACTGTACTGTACTTTACTGTATTCTGTATACCGTGCATTACTTGGAATCAATTTGGGTGTCTGTACTGTACAAGTCCGAATGAGAAGGATCCAATGAGAGTAGGACATTGCAGTATTTCTCATTGGATCCCTCTCTCTCTCGTTCATTCATTCATTCACGGCACGCACCAATAAGCGCAGGGTATAACATACGTACTGTAGCATGGCATTGTCCGTATCATTTACAGTACAGTGCATCATCACACCGGATTTTCTTTGGCGCTCGCGCTACAACAAGGATACAATCCTCGTTATTATTAGTGTCACCTGCAGCACCGCCATCTTTCTTTCTTCCCCCACAACGCACACACACACACACACACACACACACACAAATGAAACAAGTATAGGTGGATAACTCTGCTGGTTCTTTGCTTTCTGTCGTTATTCTCTGCTTTAATATGTATTGTCACGTGCGAGCGAAGAACAGGGAATAAAAAGAGAAAGAACGAAAAAGTACAGTGTATGTGCAGTGCCGTACATCTACAGTACAGTACGTGGATTCAGCCCGCCAATTAATTTGAGAAAGGAATTCCTTGAAGCACCCAGTTTTTCTTTTGCATGCGTATAGCGGGTCATGGAAAATACTGAATAATAATAATAATTATTATTATTACAGGATTACTTTTATTATTTCTCTCCCATTTCTCATGACCTCCGCAGCACGCATATACTGTACTATACAGTACATTCATATCTCTGCACTTATTGCTGTTCCCTCTATACAGTGCAGTACTGCTGGTCAAAAGCAAAATGCAGGGAAACGAACAAACGAGGACGCGACGCGTCTTGAACAAACAGTGCTCATCTACAATTCTACAGTACTGCACTGTATTCAATCTAATCCATTCCTCGCCCCTCATCGTCATCGTCCTTGATTCTGTTTTCGGGAAACTTGACCTACATACGACCGCATAAATGCATTTATTGCCGGACTCGGGCTCATCACACAGCATCAGCAAGCAAGCAAGCAAGCAGTATACTGTGTACTCTACAGTAACAGTGCTGCTCTACAGAACAGTGCAAAATATGCATGGCAAGCTGTCTGGGAAGCGGTTGCAAGAATGCTGTACACGGTACAGGATATACACTACAGTGACTTAATCACCATAGTGTTGTATACAGTACTTTGGAGTATTGTACAATACTGTACATGGCTTTTCGATCGGGACCCACATCAGATGCCCAGACTATATACACAACACCGACCACAGCACATCAGATACAGCACTGCTACATACAAAGCACCCTCTCATGCCCTTCAATACCATACAATGCAGGGAACAGTACAGTACAGTATATGGCATATTACAACTGTACATCATTGCATTCGTATGCGAGGCCGTACATTGGCGGCACAACACACGCGGCACTATTTCGCCCGTGCGATGATGACATACAGTACCTGCATTATCTAACACCAGCTCCAGCAGCAGGGAATCAAACAAGCACACTTTCTTTATTGATTTGTGTACAGCAATTTACCGGAGAGTACTGTATAGTGAACTGCACGCAGTACAGTAGAGTACAGTATACTGTATATGTATATACAGACCAGTATACCGTACTGTACTGTACTCTACTCTACTCTACTCGGCACTCGCTCACCCATCATTGATGGAAAGAGAGCAGCAGCCAGCAGCAGCAGAGGGCAAGCAATGAAATCGGCGAATCCGATCCAATAACATACCTTCCTTCTTCTTCACTGCCAACAACAGCAGCAGCAGCATCAGGACTGCGTGCTGTGACGTCGTGCTCAACTCATCATCGCAGTCATAAGTATATTCAGTCGGTCATTGGCTCGTTGCAGTGTGTGAGTCAGTGCACATGCACTGCACACGTACTGCTCAGGCGCAGTTGTTGTTGTCCTTATACAGTACAGTACTGCACATGTCAGGGCTCCTATTGCACAAACCCTGGCACATACTGTACCCACATGTACCCGCGGCACGTCCGTTCTCGCACGCATCAGCATGTACATCACTATCAATCAATCACACTCCTGTCTCACTCGTCACTGCTGCTTCTTGTACAGTACTTGCTGTACCGCAGTACAGTACAGTACAATAATTGCACTCTACAAGTACATATGTCCTCCTGCAACGAACAAAAAACAGACGGGGCACGCATTACATTACATCACATCACATCATGGTAGAAAGGAGAGTATTCTACAGTACAGTACAGTAGAGTGAAAAGAAGGAGGAGCCGAGGCAAGGAAGAAAGAAAGAAGTGATAAAACAGTCCTTTCATCGGTCTCGGTCGACTGTCGATGAGGAAGAAGAATAAGAAGCTCTCACTTGCGCCTCTTTTTTTTTATACCATATAGAACTATAGGCTATGAGTATTGATTGATTGATTGATCGATTGGACAGTGTGCCTCATCATACCGTATATGCATGCTAGATGAAGAGAAAGTGAGTACAGTGCTGTGCAACCATGCTATGCAGTGGAGTATAGTATTGCTCTCATCTCAACAGCAATGGCCTTTCCACGTCGAAATAAAAATAAATAATAATAATGCAGTGATAAAAATAAATGGACAGATA